TTAGATCTGCCCTTACCCCTGTAGGCAAGGTTTGCTGCCCACCACGTAATAGAGAGAAATTAGGGTTGTTTGGTTTTTTTTTTCCCCACAAATCTATGTTGATCCTTAGACTGTGATGTTACCTGTTAGATGTTTACAAATAGTTCTGTTTTTGTTTTCTGCTGTTATTCTGGAAATTCAGGTTAAGGTGGTTGACCTGTAACTCTCTAGGACTTGCTGATAGTAGTTAATTTTGGACATAGTGTCTAGTTGTGTTTTCAGAGTAAAAAAAGCCCTGAAACACTGTTTTAGGCCACAAGAAACAGACAGAACTGAGACTCTAAATTATGGATTGTAATCACAAAAGATAACATAAAAAAAAATGCTTTAAAAGAGTGAATTATCCAACAGTTAAACTTTCATCCCTCTTGTATGTTACAGTTTGGTTCTTGCGGATTCCTGGCTCAATTCCTTGTTGTTGTTCTCAGTCACTGTGAGCTTCCTCAGATATGTGTGTTCCTTGCCTATCTTGCTGCCAACACCCAAGCCACACCAATCCACCCTGTGCTTGTGCCCATTTCGTTATACTGTCTCTTGTGGCTCCACCCTTAAGGGGAAGGGAGCACCAAAGATTGGTAGATGCTCGTGTTCAAAAGGAACAAAATGAGTGAGAGGGTCTGCAAAGGTTTACGAAGTTTTATTAGTAAATTACATGTTTCGCATGGAAATTGGTATGTTAGTGTCTGACCTCCTAGATAAGCACACAGCAGGGGGTTTTGGATAAAGGAGTAGAGGGAAAAAGAAGAGAGAGAGAGATATGAATTAAAGAGTGTGAGAAAGGAAAGAAGGAAGAAAGAAACAACCCCCCAGGCAGTCCTGGCTCCAGCGTCAATTGATTCAAGTGATGGGGATGTCCAGGGTTTTGGGGGGCAATACATGGACTTGATAGGGGTACTTCTCTCTGCCCTGGAGATAAGTTTCTCACTTTCTTTGCAAAGTAGTTATCATGTGCAGCCTGTTCTTTTTGACCTTTCTGGAAGTGGATTAGAGGGATTCTGGTGTCTTTAGTCATGCTTTTTTCCCTACAGTCCATGCCGGTTTCTCAGTCTCATTCCGGTGTGCTGCACTATTATGCTTATCTCTTAGAGCTAGAACAAGGACGTTTGTCCTGGAAAAGTGCTGCCCTTCCCCCATATGGCCCCCTTCTCCAGCCACATCCTGTTCTTTCTCACAGTGTGTTATTACCAACAATCCTTGGCTGCTACTACCAACAATCCTTGGTTGGCTCCAAAGCTATGTGGCTATCAGTGTTTGAGACATACACATTAGCCCCCTTATCTTCTAGGCCTCTACACCCTTTCAGGTCTTTCAGGAAACTTAATTTGGGGCAGTTAGGAATAGTATCTCTAATATATGAATGTACTCCATAAGCATTTGCTTTTTTCCTAACACTTGTCTCGAACGAAAGTGTCAGACATTAGGACTTGAATTAGTAATTGAGCACATTAAACCCACCATTTTCTTCAGAGTTTTCTAGGTTATAGATTGCTGTTGGGCATCTCTTTTGGTGAGAACGACTGTATTATATTTGGCCTACTAAAGCTTTGCTTCATTGGGAATCCCCAAAATGGGATATACATGGAAAGAAAACAGTTGACAGAGTTTAACTCTCATCCTTTGTGTATGTTACAGTTCAGTTCTTGCAGATCCCTGGCTTTATTTCTTGTTCTCAGTCACTGTGAGCTTCCTCAGATGTGTGTGCCTTATCTGTCTTGCTGCTGACACCTAAGCCACACCAATCCACCACTTCTTTCAGATTCAGGTTCTTTGTATTTGGAAAAAAAAGGAGCTACAGCACTGCTGAGGTTGGCTGTCTTTGATTCACTGCATGAATGTAGCTGAATTGTATGTGCAGTGAAGGGAAGATCTTGGCAAAATCTGGTCTTAGTTGGAGAGAAGTTAACCAAGACTGTAAATCTGAAAGTATTCCAGCTAATTCCTGGCTAATATTTCTTCTATATCATTCTAGTCTCATTCTAACAGTAATGAGAATTTGAACAATAAGATGTCTGTGTGTTACCCTGATAATAGAGAGCACAGGTAGAACACTGGCACCAGGAATGCATTCAGTTATACTCTCTACTGTCTATGTCTTGATTTGGAAAACTGGATTGTATGAAGATAAATTCTAGCTTTAAAAATAAAGAGGCTGTGCTAGTCTGGGATGTAATTTTGCCTGAGCCAACTAGGTCTTTTGTACATGTGGAAAAATCAGACCTACTCTTCAGCAGCGAAGAGCCAGCCACATTACTGAGAAGAGGCAGAACCCATAGGGAAATGCTTTGGAAATCCTTTGTATGCCTGGCTCCCCATTTGACTGCTACATGTATACTGCCTGAAGTATCTACTGCAGTATCTTTAGGCAATATCTATACTGCCTGAAGAGTCATAGAATTACAACGTGTATAATTCTGCAATGACAAGAATGTTAATGCATGAAATGCTGCCTGAGAAGGTTCACAAGCAGTTGCTCATCATGGAATTTTTGAGTAGTTCTAGCAGGTAAAAATCTGTGGAAATGTGAATCTTGTTTGAGCTACTTCATCGTAAAGATATTTAACCTATAGTTAATAAGTGTCTCTAAGTCCTTAATGAGTTAGCACTTACAGTACTGAATTAATCCTGAATCACTGTGTTTCCAGACATTTAGTTAATACTGCTGTTGATTACAGCTTACTTAGTGACTGCATCACTGAAGGCTGAAGATACTGTTAAGGATCTGAGGATCAGACCAGGTTGCTCAGGGCTTTGTGCACTTGTGCCTGAAAAACCTCCAAGGAAGGAGACTGAATAAGCTCTGTGGGCAGCCTGGGCCACTGCCCTCCTGGGGAAAAAGTTCCTGCTTACATCTAGTTGGAAGCTTTCTTTAAGGTTGTGATGTACTTAAAAGCAGTGAAAACTAAAAAAAAATAAGTACTGATTTCTATTATTGAAGTTTGAGATGAGTAGTGCTTATTTTCCTACTAAAGGAGTTGATTGAATCCAGTATTTTTCCCTATTGATCTAAGCAGAGAGCATTTCCCCTCTGTGCTGCTTTGAGAAATCCAGTTTTTGGGATTTTGCTTTGGGAAACTTGGCTGCAGGTGCAGGGTTAAGAGTTATCTAGATGGAGAGCTTTATCTTACCTCTTGAAAAGCCTCTAGGGAGCGGATGAATCAGACCTGCTAATTAAACAAGCTAGGGGCTGCAAGCACATGGAAGTGGAACAGGTGACAAGAATAGCATAAAACACCTTGGCTTCTCTCGCCAGCTGGGCCAGCCTGCAGGTGTTGACAGGCACATGAAGGTAGGGGTGGGAAAACTGTCAGCTTTTCTTCTTCTCACCTTTGATGGAAAGGGAATAAAAAGAACAGCTTATCTTTTGTGTTTAAATACCATTCCAGATGAAAAATTTCATCAGATTCTGTTCCCAAGTGTGTCTTAAAAAGCAAAGAGAAAAATAAACTTAAAAAATAGAAAGAACATGCATCTGTCTTCAATTTAAGTTAGAAGGAATTCTTTAAAACCAAAACAAACCCACTAACCCTTATTTTTTTCCCCTTTCTTACATAATCAGTTATATGGGACAAATAATTATTGGATTTAATAGGCTTTCTGTGCCCAATAGGTTTTATACTTGAAAATATTACCATCACTAGCAAATCCTGGTTATGCTGGAAAAAAAAGGCTCTGCTTGTATATTAACACTCTTGCCAGAAAAGAATTTTGACTATTTTGCTTTAGAAGTATTTACTAAAATGGAACTTTTTAATTTTATATATGGGAAATTAAGCATTCTCTTGTTTTGA